GTTATTTCTGTTGTGCTTATCTATGAGGACAGGAACATAGACATCCCGACGTAACAGACTGATAAAATTCCTACAATCGACATTATCGAAATGGGCACCAGCGACAAATTGCTTTTGCCTGTTTATCGAATACATTCAACGGGAAATGTTTATAATTCGTATATTGTTATCTTAAGTTAATATGAAATAAATATTTTATTATATTACAGATTTATAAAGCAAATAAACATAACGTTGATGAGTCAAAGACCGTAAAATTATTAATAGTTTTGTTATTACGCTAGCAATTAACTGTTGCGTCGCGATGTCCGCGATGGTAGGCTATATCTTTACCTATACTAATATTATAAAGAGGAAAGATCCGTTTTTTTTTTTGTATTTTTGTATGTATTGAAAACTTAAAACTTAAAAACTACTTGGCCGATTTCAAGAATACTTTCACAATTAAAAAGCTACGTTATCAGTGAGTAATATAGGCTATTTTTTTAATTTCACGCGGACGAAGTCGCAAGCAACGCCTAGTTTATTATATTAGTATAGAAGTATAGATATGCTTGATATGCGGCATCATCTTTGTGGTAAAAAAAACAGTGCACGGTCTTTTCCCAACACGTATCTAATCCAACATTGTGATTTTTTGTCGTCCGCACCGTAATAGTGTGCATTACATGAATTGTAAAGCAGTACCGCCCCCGTTTACAAAAGGGAGTCGTAATAGATTCGTTTTCGTGGAAAAATGTAAATGCGCACACTTACCGAGCGGCTTCGGATCCTAGTTATGGGTAATTTGACCTCCAGCCTGGCTCCCGTGGAATTACAAATAGGATAAACCCCATAACGTGGGATTAAATGCGATTCGAAACGTCTTGGTGCGATCGTAACTATAAAGAGCCTACCGAAATTGTGTTCCCTAATGGACTGTTAATGTAGGACTGTTATTTATGTAGCTGGATATAAGAATAGAGGTTTTCAAAATTTTTTCGAAAGGACTTAAGAGCTTATGTCCATCCTGATGTCGTGGAGTGTCCATTTTATGCGTTCATTTCTTTTATTTGTTTTCCAATTTAATTCAAAAGATTCTTTGCTTTTATTGAGCTTCTTTGCAGATTGTAGAATTTCATTTAAATGTGAATTTATTTTTTTATTTAATATACCAAAGACAGTTAATGCCACAACCTACTCAGTCGTATACGTAATAACAGGTCCCTGTAAGGTCTAGTCGAATTTTTATCTGGATGTTTAGTCGAGGAGATTTAATCAGTCACGGGCACGCGCGTCGTTCGGCGAACCGTGTCGTTTTTGCGCTCTTATCGCTCGATATGAGCTCGATCTACACATAGTTTCGGCTAAATATTTGAACTAAAATTACATGACATTTCTTTAACAAATTAGTCTTTTTGAGTTGAAAACTCGCCGACTTTAATTCTTATAGTAATATCGATTATAAAATAAACGCATGATTTCTGCAGAGTTACGTTTAACGTCTCTTATGCAGGGTCATCTTGACATTCGGCGAATTTGCACAAAACCTTGGGCTAATAGCCTCAGTGGGAAAAACAAGTTCCGTAATATGCTCCTCAAATAATCTTATCTGTTTACTGTAACATATTTATATTGTTATTTTAAATAGAGATAAGTGATTTTCATATCTTTGCAAACTAAAAACATTATTCAAATACCAGGAAAATTTCTAATTACCATTGTAACATTAAAAAGTAAGCTTGTCTTAAGAGGTTATGTTACAG